TAACTTCCAGAACTTAAATCATAAAAGACCCAAGGTAGATATTGGGAGGGGGAAAACAGTAAATTCACAAAACTTTCCAAAAATGACCGACTGGTTCATTACAAAGATAACACAATAATAGCATAAGAACTAAAAGACTTAATCATTCTAAAATACTCCAAAACTTTATTGTCGTGTGTACAAGCCGCTAATATAATAATACATAATTTGAAAGATAAATACAAGTCTCAATGTCTTTGTTTCTCGAATAAAACAAAACATAAAATAAGGAAAAAGAGGGCTCGCTTGGATGACAAACAGCTACCTCTCAAATCTTTTGCAAGCCTCGAAGTAAGGATGAAAAATAAAGATCACACAGGTAGAAGCAAGAAGTGAGTACCAAACAACACGGTACTCAATAAGAAACCCCCTAAAAATAGGTAAAACTAAGCTAGAATACAAGTAGTCCTTTCATCCCAACCGAACTGCCTCAACTACAACTTGCATAGAAATCCGCCAAACCTAACAATTTTACAATACACAACTCTTAAGGCTTAGCAATCACAAACCTATCATCATTGTTCAACAACCAACAAGTATTAAGTATGGCAATCACAAGAATCAAGTAGATCAATCATAATTATCAAGTAGATCAATCACAAGTATCAAGTTCATCATAGCTCAATAGACAAACACTTGTCGGAACCATTTTCCACTGGCACAATATCACTAGCCGAAACTATTTCACACTGGCTTTATAAAGTATCACTTGTTGGAACCATTTTCCTTTGACACAATATCACTAGACGAAACCATTTCCCTTCGGATTTATATATTGTCACTTGCCGCAACAATTTTCCTTCGACACAATATCACTAGCAAGAACCATTTTCCATCGGCTTTATACAGTATCACTTGCCAGAACCATTTCCCTTCGGCACATCATCACTAGCCGAAACCAATTCCCTTTGGCTTTATATAGTATCACTTGTCGGAACCATTTCCCTTCAGTATAATCATCGCATGTCTCATCACGGTGTATAGAAATCAATGCAAATAATCAATTTTACACCATAAGGAAGAGAGAATATTCAAGCAAATCAAGTATGCAATGATGCCATCAAAGCATTTCATTAATCAACAAATTAAGGTCCACAAAAAGGCAATTCACAAAGAACAACTAACAAAGTATTGCCTTTTCCATTTATCCTTTTTTTATTCATTAAGATCAATCAAGTGAAATAATTGAACATGACACCTCATCGCTTTTGGGAGTCGGCCCTCTAAAGTGAAGGTCGCGAAAGTGATAAGATATTCACAAAAGAAGGGTCAGCCCACCAGAACCTTCACAAACGTGAGCCCACCTCGCTAACACAATATTTGCAAAAGGGAAGATCAAATTGCAAAAGTGAAGGCATCAGACACTAGCAACATACAACCAATAACAAAATCATTGAATGGGATTCGCTTGGAACCCCGTACACACAAACCCTATATACTTTTTGATTATACTCGAACTTCCAAAATCAATGGAATCATTGAAACACGAATCTGAGGTCTCCTTGACCTGAAACTCGTGAAAGTCACAAGAGGCCAACATAACTACCAAAAAGACAAGATCAAGCTTGGGACCTCTGAAAATTCAACCAAGATCTCCTCTAGGCCAAAATTCATCCCTTAAATCCAAAAGAATTGTAAGAAATGTGATCCAAGAATCCGAACCCCGAACTTTGACCAAAGTCAATCCAAAGGCTAAAATACCACAAATTTCAAACTTTGAGCCTCAAATTCTCAAAAGGCTCCGAATCAGAAACCGACATATCTCTTAGACAAAATTCCACATTTGGGACTAATGAAATCGATGGAATTCCATTTCAAGACTAAAACCTCCAAAAGACATCGAAAATACCTTATAATAACTTTAGCATTTCAAATTTAAAACTTTCATAATCACAAGTTTTTACTAAATGCTCGAAACCAAATTTCAAAACCCAATTAGAAATGTCTTGGGGTCGATATCATGAGGGATAAAATGGTAATTTTAGAAATTTTTCCAAAAATAACCTTTTCTATCATTAAATTATCCGTAACTAAAAACCATGTTCATCCTCGAACATAAAGTATAAGAAAGTACCTAGAGCCTTGAAAAGCTGGGGATATATGGCACACATATCGGATTGTGTCTCCGAAGTCACCTCACCAACAAAATGGTGTTTCCGCTGCACCTTCACTAAAGCAATCTCCTTGGTCCTAAGCTTTCGGACTTGCCTATCTAAGATGGATCTAGGCTCCTCCTCAAATGATAAGTCTAGACCCAACACAACCGATTCAAGTGAAAGCATACAGCTAGGACTCATCCGCCATGTACTTCTGAAGCATGGAGACATGAAACACAGGATGCACAACTGACAAGTTAAGTGGTAAGACCAACTTATAGGCCACCTCTCCCACTCGGCTCAAAATCTCAAAAGTTCTAATTAATCTTGGGCTAAGCTTACCCTTCATCCCGAACCTCATCACAACCTTCATAGGTGACACTTGGAGCCAAACATAATCACCCTCCATAAACGCTAAGGCTCAAACTCTCCAGTCTGCATAACTCTTTTGTCGAATTTGGGTTGTCAACAATCTACCTTAAATCATACGGACCTGATCTATAGAATGTCTAAGCAAGTTTGTATTTAAGGAGTCCATCCCAACCGAATGGATCCAACCTATCGGAGATCTACACTATTTTCCATACAACGCCTCAAATGGGGCTATTTGAATATTGGAATGATAAATGCCGCTGTAGGAAAACTTTGTTAAGGGTAAATGTTGATCCCATCTAAAACTAAAATCGATCACACGTGCTCGAAGAATATCATCTAACACCTGAATAGTTTGCTCAGACTTCCCGTTAGACTAAGGATGAAAAGTTGTACTCATATCTAGCCGAGTACCCAGACCATGTTGTAAGGCCTTCCAAAAATAAGAAGCAAAAAATGATCCCTGATCGGAAACAATGGAAACTATCATGACCCAAAATCATGAGTCATGATGGCACCTATGTTCCCAACCGATAGGTAAGTCAACCCAATTTTTTACCAATTAAATACGTTATAATTAAGGGAAAAGTAAGAGACAAGTAGAATATCCCAAGCAATAAGTCTTTCATAAGTATAAATTGCGAAAAACTAAAATACAACCTAAGATTTGGTGTCATAAGTACAAGAGCTTCTACAATATGATACGAGTCCAGACGAAAATGACAAGTCTAAACGTAAGAAATACCCTGTCTGAATACTATAAAAATATGATAAATTAAGAGATAAATGAAGGTGCGGGTCACATAATAACTAAGAAGCTCATCACTAATAGGTACATAGACTAATATGTCCCCATGTGTCTCATTTGCAAAGCAATGTGTGTGTATCAATGGACAAATATGCGTAACTTTATATGACATTTGCATTACATTGCATTGCACCTCATCTTCAGTATTTGACCTTTTTGAGAGAGTTGTTATGTTTAGTGGTGATTTGAATATGAAAGGTTGTGATGATGCTATAAAGACTCTCATGTTTGTATTATTATGTACTACCAGTATTGTCTTGTATTTATTACTTGTGAAACTGTGATAATGGGTTAGTTCTGGTCACTGTACAGGTTATGGTATGAGGGGATTCAGATGGTGTGTCAGGGTACTTGTGTTTAGTATTGCTTTACTTATGGTCAATTAGGGATGCTGGTTGAGTATCATTGTTGTTTTGGAACTCATTCCCTTGCTTTCTACAATTGTGTATGTTACGAGCATGAACAGTCTTGAACTTTCATCCTGCATCTTCGTCTGAGGCCTATTATTGGAGTTTTATGAGGTAGTTGCTTGTTTCCCCAGAGACGTCAGATACTCTTGATTATGTCTTTATACTACTCGAGTATTGTAGACTTTCAGACTTATGTTTTCATTGAATCTATTGTGATACTTAGTGACTTGTACACCTGACACTAGATTTTGAGGAAGGTTTTGTTACATTATGAGTTCCACAATGCTTATGTTATGTTTAATTCTTGATTTCTCTCTTAATTCTGCATCCACCCTTGTTGAGAGTTGTTTAGGCTGACCTATCTTGATGGGATAAGACATGTGTCATCACACTCGATTTTCGAATCGTGGTCAATAAAGAATGTGCTCATCAAAATTAATGCAGTTGGTATTTGTAAATCATATATGTTACTTTAAATTTTGTAACAAATTTATACAAATAATAATCTATTTATAATATTAATAAACTTAAATAAAGATTTATATTAAGATATAAAATTATTTAAACTATATATACATATATATATATATGTGTGTGGGAGGGGGGGGGGGTGTGCATGTGCGTGCGTGGGTGTGCGTGCATGTGTGTGTGGGTGTATGTGTGTCATAAATTGATATTTAAAATGTTAAAGATGAAATAGTTATTGCATAAGATAAGGGGGCAACAATATCGATTATTATAAATTGATATTTAAAATGTTAAAGATAAAATAGTTATTGCATAAGATAAGGGGGCAACAATATCGATTATTCAAAATTGAGAAAGAAGTTAAATTTTTAAAACAAAATTGAAAGATGTAAAAAATATGTTTTCATTAATAAAAGTACAAAATAGTTTTATGACCTTTACATGACTATCCACCAAAATATGCATTTGATAGCCTATTCTTTATTGATCACCAACATCACATCCTTAAGCATATTTATATCTCTAGTATCAAAATTATTTCATTTTATGATTAGAATATACTAGACATTAAAGAATATTTAAATAGTGATTACAAACTTAATTACATTGAAGTATTAATAATTAACTAGTTAAATACATTATAATATGAAATATTTATCAAATTTGCAATATAAAAACAAAAACATACCATGCCATAAAGTTTGAAAAAAGAAAAGCAAAAACTAAAGATCCAAACGTGATAAGTCATTTGAGTATTTAACCCAAAATACGCAACTTTTCTTCTTATATCCTACGCAACTTTCAAATTCAGATCCAAAAGGAGTCCATTCCGTTTCTTTCTCCTTCACGCTATTAACAAATCGAGCATTTCCCCCTTAATCTAGCATTCCCTCATTCATCGCCATTTTCTCTCTCCACACTTCACCCAGGTACGCTCTCTCTCTCTCTCTAGAACGGTTTTTTCAATTTACTTCAGTGTTTAAGCTTTCAATTTCATTATTATGTGGATCTCCAGATCTGTATTTGTATTATATTGTAAATCGTTGATTTAATTCTAATTGTAGTGTTTTTGTGTTAACAGGCGGAAGTGGAAGGTTTGATTTGTTAGCAATGGCGACAGTTCGAATGTTTTCCTTCACTCTTCTCTTTGCTGTTTTGCTTGTTCAACAATGTATCTGCACAGATCCGCCTGCAAGTTCACCAAGTCCTGCACCGGAATCTGGCGCTGATGTAGCTTCTCCACCGGTGAGTCCGGCTCCATCGCCTTCATCAAATCTAACTTCTCCGCCGGCACCTTCACCGTCAGATCTCTCTCCGAATTCATCTCCGGCGCCATCACCGGGTGATTCTATCTCTAAAGATTCCCCGTCGCCGGCTCCGAATTCCGAAGCTGCGAGTGATATTAGCCACGAGAGTGCAGAGTCGTCGAAGGAATCATCTGGTGGTGGAATGACGAGTGGAAAGAAGGCCGGAATAGCAGTCGGAGTGATCGCCGCCGTTTGTTTTGTAGGTGTCGGTGCAATTGTGTACAAGAAGCGACAACAAAATATCCAGCGATCTCAGTTCGGGTATGATGCTAGGAGAGAAATTCTTTGATATATCTTCATATGCAAATCAGTTCATATAGTATACTACAGATGTATGTAAGTCTACTGCATCATGATTAGATTTGTTTCATTTGGAATTTCTACTACAATATCATTGGATTCATTTGATTCTTTACCCACTGGATTCATTAGTTTTGTCTGCTATTGGAAATTTAACTTTTGATAACTGCTTTGCTGATGATTTTGCAATTCGTTTTGATTTTTCACTTGCAATGATACTGTGAATGATCAACAAAATGTTTTAGGCGTTTGTTTGAAAATTTTCAACAAACGGAATCTGCAGAATTAATTCTATTTGAGTTTTTGCAAAAACTTATTTTCTTGACTTGTTTCTGTAAAATAAGTTTAAACTCTGTTTGTTTTTGAACTTATTTAGATTTATATTCTATTATTCTTTATGCATTGAGAGGGAGAATTTACAATATTTGGCTCCCTGGTGCCTTGTCATTGGAAGAGCCTGGGTGAATCGTAAGACTAAAATTACTCGATACTTGTATTGACCTACATGCTTGTTGGTGTTCAGAGCTGTGCAGCATGTCTCACATACCATTGTTATTTAAAACAAAACAAAAACTTGATGGATAGTAAAACTAAAGAAAAGAATGAGTTGTTGGTTGAATGATTTTGAGGAATAAATGTGGATCTGTCTATTGGACCAATATTGTACGTTAGAGTGAATGAAATAGAAGGTGCCTTTTCAGAGTAAAAGCCAAAGTTGCCTCAATGGAAGTTACGGCGCATGTGAATTGGGAATAGTAGGCTATTAAAGTTTTGATATGGAAGGACAAAATATATGGACATGAATTGGTTGAATTAAATCTGTGGACTAATTAATGCCAATCACACTGGATGATGTAGTATTTGTATATTTTTTTTACTGGTAATGCTAAATGGCCAGAGAATTTGGCCAGAAATTTTAGAAAACTATAATATCTTTTTTATTTTAAAATAAATTAATTTTTTTTCCATTTTTTAGCTAAAAGATATTAAATTTAAAAGAATAAAAATATTTAAAAAGGTAAAATATTATTCTGACCAAATTTTTTGGCTAAAAGAATTTTTCCTTTTTTTACTGTATGTGATAAATTATATTTCATGGATTGTCTTGTAATATTTTGGAATTTTCTTATATTTTACACCAAATGACGTGAATGCGTTGTGTGGTGCAACTGTTGGTTGTGGGCTGGCAGTAGAACAATGGGCGTTGTCCTATTCATATCACGTTATTTTGTTTACACTGTATTGACAATGACGTTTGTTGTGGTTGTGGTTGTGATTGTGATTGCTTTTCTATTTTATTTTATTTGCAAACAAAATTCCTGCTTGCTCATTATGTTTTCATAAATATTATGACATTGTCGGTGCGTTTTTTTCATTCCAACACCACCTCACAGTCTATCGCTTTTGTGGGAGTAAATATGTAAAATTGTATTCAAGTATGATATACAAATAATATAAATCATTTTCACCCTCAATTTCGGGGTTTTAAGTCAACCCCTATCCCCTCAACTTTGAACACTAATCAAACTTCCCCTTTTCTCCTAATTAAACTTAATAATTGCTACCATATCCTTTCATTATCAATTTTTTTTTTAATTCTTTAAAAATCATAATTTTTTATTTTTTTAAATTCACATAACAATTTCTTTATTAAAACATAAACTGTTGTGAAACTATATAAAACAATCTATGTATAATATAAAGCTAGATAAAAGAAAAGTATTGTGACACCTCTCTTTGGCAAATGATTCTATTTATTTTTTTCTCCTTTTTTTAAACATCTTTTCCTTATTTTTCTTCTAGTTATTATTGTATAAAAATGAATATGTTAATTAGTTTTTCTTCATTTATTTATGTTCTTTAATATAACAACTTAATTGTCTTTATTTTCATTACCTCCATGACTTTGGTGATCATAACTCTTAAATTATATTAATAGCTATGATAATAATATTGGAAGGTGAATAGTTGATAAATTGAATTTAAAGATTCTTGGAGCTATTAAAAATCTATATCTATATATAATATAAAGGAGAATGTTATACATGCTGATGTGGCATGCTTCTAAGGGCTAGAAACCTATTTTTTTTTTATTTTTTTGTGATTTTTTTGGCCATTTTTCAAATTTTAAAATACTAAAAACTCCTAAATATTAAAGAGAGTCATATTTAATTCTTTCTTAAAGCTAATTAAGTCTTTTTATAATAGAACTCAATTAAGGAAAACACTTAATTGCTATTCAATTATAATTACTCAAATATACGTTATCAATCTTTTCATATTCGTATGTTACTAATGCTTTTGCCAACTATAAATACTAAAGCAAATGTCCAACAATGCACACATTCTGCCTTTTTTATTCATAACTTTCTTTTCAATTTTTCTTCTTTTTCGTTTTTACTCTTTTTGCAAGAAGTTTATTTCTTCTTTTTCCCCCCCCCTTTTTTTTTTATCATTATTGGTATTGTCTATTAGTAACTTTGTAATTTTGATGCCTGATTTTTAGTTGTTAGAAAATGGGAGAGAGCGACATATATATTATCTTATTTGTGAAAGGAACTCGTCAGGATCAAGCTTGAAGAATATCAATCATTACCGATATATCAAATTTTATCTACATTTTTTTTTAATTGCAAGCTTGTATATAGTTATAGTGTGAATTCAAATTTAACAAATTTAATTTTCTTAAGGTAAATGCCCTGTTTTAAATTTAAGAAATAATTATGTTAATTTTATATCAAATTATTATTATTATTATTATTATTATTATTAGTGTGAATTCAAATGTAACAAATTTTATTTTCCTAAGATAAATGCCCTGTTTTAAATTTAAGAAATAATTATGTTAATTTTATATCAAATTATTATTATTATTAGTGTGAATTCAAATGTAACAAATTTTATTTTCCTAAGATAAATGCCCTGTTTTAAATTTAAGAAATAATTATGTTAATTTTATATCAAATTATTATTATTATTATTATTCACAAACAAAACCTCTCCTTATACGATTTCTAAATGCTCCCAAAACAAGTAACATATTAAAAAAAAATACAATTATTTCTTTCATCTCAAAACAAATGATATATGAATAAAAATAAAATCTTTAAGAATATTCTTCAGCTCCTCACACTTTCTCACACTTTCTATAATTTTTTAAGTTTTGACAATTGAGGTTTCTTTAATATAAGAACTCTTTGTGTAGTATAAATCAATTGATTTCTTTATCTTTTTTGTTGAATTTATAGAGAACCTACTGATCTTGTCGTAATAATAGGATAAATTGATTTCCCAAACATGATTTTGGGGGATTTGAATAAAATAATCAAAAAGTAAAGGAGAAGTGAATTAATTATACAAAAAGGATACAATTAGTATGACATATATTTTATTGTAATTGGGATAGTCATTCTAACAATAATATAATAAGGAAATAAGGAGAAAAATCAAAGGGGGGTGGGGGAGTGATTATTTTATAGTATTTTTTTTAATAAATATTCAAATATATTCTCAGATTGGAGTTACATATGCATAATTTAATTAAGATAAATTAGATTATAAATCCTTTTGAAACTGAAAAAAAATTTTTGGATGAATTAAAATTTTAGAATAGTGTAATTAGGGTTACTTGTCCTACCAAATAAATCAAAATTATACTTATTGAACAAGGAAGGAAATGATACTAATGTTTGATGTTTTTAGCTTTTAAAATATGAGAGATATTTATAAAGTTGGGAAATAAAAGGGAAAAGATAAGTGACATCCCTCTTTCATCAAGAATTTTATTCTCCTTTTTTATCTTTTTAAAAAAGCCATACTCTCATAATTCACACTTCTCCATTTTCATAATTTTCACTCTTAATTAGTAATAGCCATAACTCCCATTAAATTATTGTAGTTATTGAAAAGCTACTTACATAATCATTTAATTTCAACAATTAGAATGTGTGCAATTTATATTATGGTGACATTAATAAGAACTAATACTAACAATTAATATGTTAATTATGAAAACAGAAAGGAAAAACTAAACAAGGTGAAGAAAAGAAGAACAACAAAAAAATGTAGATATATTTATTTTGTACTTCATATATTTTTTTTAATCATATGTCTGATGGTTCAAAAAAAGAAGCATATTGTTATTTATATACTTTTAATATACTAAGATTACGAACTCAATGAACACATCATTTAGCATTTGAGAAGATTTAACATGTGGTAAAAGTTTGAAAAATTGTTATTATTTATATTTTTAATATTTTCTACTTATTTAAAATACCTATAGTTTTTTTGTCCATTCCACCAAATTAAATTTGATTATTATTGCAAGCCACAGTTGATATGAAAGCCAACATATTAGAAATTTATTGAAAATAATTTTGGTTGTTGAATGAAAATCAAATCAAATAGGAGCATTTTTCAATATATCTTAAAACATTTAAAGTGTTTTTTTAAACAAATTATAATTGTAAATTGACTTTTCGATTAATAACAAATTTATAAAATGCAATTCACACCGCGCGAAGCGCGGACAAATTTACTAGTAAAATAAATAGATAAATAAAGAGGTGATTTTTAAACCAATTTTTTTCCCTCTTTTTTCCCATTCTATTTAATTTTCAATTTATTAAACTTAATTTGAAACATGCAAATTTACCATTAGGCAAACATCCGTTTCCCTATATTAGTAACACATAGAATTTTAAAAGTTTTATCTAAAAAGTGACAACCCAAACGTTTTGCTACTATTAATTATTAATTAATATGCTATTGTTATATTATAGTAAGAAAAGGAACAAAAAAAAAAAAAACTTACATTTCCCTCTCTCTAAGAAAATAGCTATATAATGGAGTTTGAGTAAGGTTTTACGTCACTCCACCAAATTAGAATTTACATCATGTAAGATAAAAAGTGAGAAACATCTTCTCTTCTTAATTTGTTTTTACATCTTCCAATATTAAGTTTCTATGATATGCATTCTTAGAGAAAAATAAAATGATCATGGAGAATTTATCTTCCTCCAAAAATATTATGATGATAGAATGGATGCAATATTAGTTAATGTTGAGATCGTAAGAAATACTTTCAGTATTTATATTTATTATATTATTGATATTTTATGTTATTGTCTTATAAAAAGAGACATTGTAAGATTTTATAGAAAT